TCCTCTCCTCTATCCATCTTCTATCCGCCTCCCACTCTCTCCCTATTTATTTCACAACCCCCTTCCCCTCCCCCTTTTCTCATTCCCTGTGTTAAACTGCTTTTACTTTCCCTCCTCATTTCTCCTTCTCTCTGCCCTTTCTCCACATTCACACCCCAACACAGTCCAGATAGTTGACCCCTCCCACAGGCCGCTGTCTGTCCCTGCAGCATCTGTTGCCTGGTAGCTTAGATCGGAACAGCTTCCTTTCTAGGACTCTGTCCTCAGCTTAGTTCACAATGTCAGAGGGTGACAACTAAGAAAGACACACTTGCATTCTTATAGCACCCTTTGCCACCTCAGGACAGCTCTATATGTTTTATGGTGGTGGAAATATTGTTAAAGTTGTAATGTTTAAAAACAAGGCAGAATTTAAAAGTTTCCTGTAGCTTTGAGCAGTTTTAGTTGTTGCTGTGGAGTCCATTATCAGTCAGTGAACCTCCCTATTCATGGGTTCCTTGTGTTGTGAATGGGTTCTGTTATTGAGTTCCATTCGCAAGTCAATTGGTACATAAGTGGAACACAGTGCAGGACAAAACAAAATATTTATTTGTAAGGACAGGAAATGTTCATATGTCAGATCTTTAAATTTCCACTCTCTCCTATGGGTGGAAATCAGGGACCCCTGTTTATTAAGTATATAGTATGGGGAGAGAAATTGAAGAAAACTTGAATATTAATGATATTCTCTCTTAATAACTTATATCATAACAGAAAGAAACAGAATAAGAGAGAATAGATCTACATAATTAGATACATATTAGTACGTAAATATAGCTTATAAATGCATGTAAAGGGACATCGGAAGAGAGTGACTGCATTAAAATGAATGTTCACATTTTAGAAAGAGTGCCTCAAAATATATAGACCTATAGAACGGAGAGAAAGAGTGAGATTAGGGCAGGAACCACAAAAAACTAATCCCACTCAGACAGACTGAGAGAGCTGAGACATGGATAGTAAATCACCAAATCCACAGTCTCTCTCTCAGTGAGTGGGATCTGCCCCAGTCTCTCTCTCAGTGAGTGGGGTCTCCCCCAGTCTCTCTCTCAGTGGATGGGGTCTCCCCAAGTCTCTCTGTCTCAGTGAGTGGGGTCTCCCCAAGTCTCTCTCTCAGTGGGTGGGGTCAGGTCTCTCACAGTATGTGAGGTCTCCCCCAGTCGCTCTCTCTCTCTCAGTGAGTGGGGTCTCCCTCAGTTTCTGTCACTTGGTGAGTGGTGTGTTCCCCTATCCCTTGGGTCTGATCACTGTGTCTGATGGTGTGTGTGTCTGTGTGTGAGAGAAAGAGATGCTGGGTATCAGTAACAGTGGACTCTGACATAGGGATCTGCAGTGATTGTCTCTCCTTGACAGAGTGAGGAGGTTAATGATGATGTTTTTCTCTCACCCTCTCTCTGTTCATAGTTTGACACTCAGTGTCTCTCTTTCTATGCCTGCACTCCCTTGTACCATTCACATACCCCCCCCAATCGGGATTTTCCAGACAGCCTCTCACTGACAGACATTCCCTGGAATTCCCCTGTGTTGAACTGCTTTTACTTTCCCTCCACCCTTTTTGCACATTCATACCAACACGGCTCAGATAGTTCACCCCACCTATAGGGCGCTCCCAGTCCCTGCAGCATTTGTTGCCGGGTAGATTAGGTTGGGACAGGCTCCTTTCTAGGACTCTGTCCTCAGTCTGGTTCATAATGTCAGAGGGTGGCAACTAAGAAAGACACACTTGCATTCCTATAGTGCCCTTCATCATTTTAGGACAACCAAAACAAATGTAGCATTGAGTGAATTGGTGCTGAAGTATAATGTTGTAATGTCAGGAACAGATCAGCCTGTTGTATATCTATTTTTGCAATGTTGATTTTGGGATAAATAAATATTGGATAGAACAACAGAGAGACCTCTTACTCTTCTTAACTGATGTTTTGTGATATTTTCACTCACATGACACACTAGAGGAAGCCTCGGTTTAACATGTCAAACTCAGAACAGCGATATATTTCCAAGTCAGGATGGTGAGTGACTTGGAGGGGAACATGTGTTCCCACATATCTGCCAGCCCTTATCCTTCTAGATAGAAGTGGTTGTGGGTTTGGAAGGTGCTGTCTGATGATGTTTGATGGACTTCTGCAGTGCATCTTGTAGATAGTATCCACTGCTGCTACTGAGCATTGGTGGTGGAGGGAATGGATGTTTGTGGGTGTGGTGCCAATCAAGCGGGCTGCTTTGTCCTGGCTGGTGTCAAGGTTCTTGAGTGTTGTTGAGGCTGCACTCATCCAGATAAGTGGGCAGTATTCCATCACACTCCTTACTTGTGCTTGTGATAATGGATGGGCTTTGGGGAGTCAGGAGGTGATTTGCTTCCTGCAGGATTCCTAACCTCTTCCTGCTCTTTTAGACACTTTCTTTATATGACTGGTGCAGCTCAATTTCTGGTCAATGGTAATCCCCGGGTGTTGATAGTGGGGAATTCATTGATGGTAACACCTTTGAATTTCGAGGGAAATAGTTAGATTCTCTTTTTTTGGATATGGTCATTACTTGGCATTTATGTGATGAGAATGTTACTTGCCATTTCTCAGTCCAAATCTGCATAATATTCAGGTCTTGCTGCATATGGACACGTCCTGTTTCAGTACCTGAGATGTGAATGGTGCTGAACATTGTGCAATCATCACAGAACATTTCCACTTCTGATGTTATGTTGGAGGGAAGCTGAAGACATTACTTTCTTTTTGGACTCCTCAATAATCACTCTGCTTTTGGTTTCTCATTGCTTTAAAAATATTCCCATCTGTCTTAGATCCAAAGTAGATGACCTCACATTTACCAGGTTGAAATCCATCATAGGAACATTACCATACCGAATGCTGTACTTGATTGAAAGTCTAATTTGAAAGAAAGCCTTGCATTTATAATAGTGCTTTTCATATCCACTCCAGACTCAAGGTATTTCACAGCCACTGTAGGACATTCTGAAGTGTAAGTATTGTTGCCAAGTAAGAAACACTGCTTCCAAGATGAGCACAACAAGCTCCCACAAACAGCAAGGTGATAAAAATAACCTGTTAACTGTGGTATATGTGATGCTGATTAAAAGTGTAAATGTACACACTATTCTGTTTGTAGAAAATTTTTTATGATGCTGTTTAGTTTAAGTTCACAACTATGATGGCACTTGAGTGAGCAGTCAGCTGTAAACCATTCATTGAGCCTACTGGTCCAGTGGAAATATTTAGTTACTTCAGTTGCTGGCCTTGACTGAGATTTGATTTCAAATGGGTCTTGAGCAGCTCATGGGGTCTCTGCAGTGTACCTGTGCTGCAGAACACCAACATCTTCCTGAGACACTTTGATCCAGCCATTTTCCCGCATGTGATACACTGAAACAAAACACACACAATGTTAATCTCATATTGCATGAAATAAATACATTTCACTCCTTCCACTTGCAGGAAACAGTGACTAACAGAAACTTGCTGAGCATGGTGAGAAATGGACAATCCTGGGGATTAATATTGGCGAAGGCACTGAGAAATAGACACATATTTTAGGCAAATGGCAAAGGAATTTGGCACACAGGCTGCAGTGGTTCAAGAAGGCAGCTCACCACCACCTTCTCAAGGGCAATAGGGACAGGCAATAAATACTTGCCCATCCAACGACACCCACATCCCAGAAGTGAATAACGTAAAAGATGAGGGGCAATAATTTACGAAGTAATGACTTAAGGTCTAGAATGCACTACCTGAGAATGTGGTGGAATCAAGACATTCTACAGGGAATGAAATTAGTATCTGAAAAGAACCAATGGGCAGTAGGACAGAGAAAAGACGGGAGTGACAGAAAGTAAATTGCTCCTCCAGCAGTGCCAGTACATTTAGCCTCCTCCTTGCTTGTACCTATTCTGTCATTTGATGAAAGGGGCAGAAATAGCACTGTCACAAAAGAAAAGTTCTAAAAACATTGTGGGGTTGAATATTGGGAAAGTACAAAGAGAATCTCAGACAGAACGCCCCTGCTTTAAAGTCCAGATGTTGAGGGCTTTTACATCAAAAACAAAATAGATTCAAAAAGGTCTTCAAATATGATAATTGGAGAATCGAAAATACCACATGCATGAATGTAACTTCCCAACAGAGGGACTGCTCTCTGACACGTTAGTGAGACACACAAAGTTAGCAGCATCAGTATTTCCTGAGCTCTGGTTTTACTGAGGAAGAAAGAACAGCCAATTGGTGAAGCTGAGTGCAGGTATGTTTGACTCACTGTGAGCATAGCCTAACACCAGCATCTACCCAGGAAAATCTTCACTACAGCATAACTTACACTCTCCCTTGAAATAGGAATCAGAAGGGGCACTTCTTATCTGAATACCAAATTCTGACACACCCATCTTTACCAGCAAGTTGAAGACACTGCATTTTCTGTTACCAAATAAACCAAATTTTACACAGGACACTGGGGAATGGGACTGAGGGAAGAACTTTCTCAGAGAGAGAACATAGTAAGATGGGACTGAGGTGTGGTGATTCTATGGCTCGAAGGTGTATTTTGTCCTTTTTTATGAAGAAAGGTTGAGATAGAGGTAATGAGCGGTCTGCTCAAAGACAATCGAATAAACACCTTATAAAAGCCTGGGTTTTTTTAAAAGTTGGAACAATAGAAGCAGCCTGAATGGGTGGGGTCAAGCTCCCACAGCACCAGGATTTTTAGTTTTAGCTTTCTGCAGTTGCTGGGGTCTTGAAGCTGGATGTGGAAGGCTTTATTCCACTCTCTGTTACAGCTAAAAGCTGGAGTTCTCTTCCTACTGCTAGAATTACATGTGAGACAATCTATTTTAGTGAAGTTGCCTTTGCCAAGGGTCTGTTTAAAGGATGTTACTCTTTTGGAACAGTAGTAGTCAATACACATAATAATTTGTTAAGCATTTTGATAGAATTACAGTTAAGCAAATTATTTTATTTTTATTTTGTCTGTATTTTAACTGTAGTGTAAAATTAAAGTATGTTTTGCTTAAAGTCGAGTAGTTTAACCAGTTGAATTGCATCTGGAATTCAACGCCTTACACTTACCTTCAAAATAAGGAAAAGTTAGGGTCTAGGCTATCTTTGTAATATATTTGGAGGGTTTGTCTGGGATCAAAATCTCTAATTCAAGGTTGGGTTTAGGATTATTGGACTCAAAGGCAGTGAGTGGCAAGTGTTGGTGTTCCCTTTTCGGGAGTTGAATTTGGTTGGTTTAAATAGGATGTGCTTTCTGTAATAATGGTTCTTTCAGTCACCAAGAGTTTCCTGGGGTTGGAAGAAATCACTTCAGGAGATTTACAGAAAGTGAGCAAGGCAAAGCTTTTGGAATTGGCAGACAAGGTGGAGTAGGGGGTTGCCTTTGTGTGAAAAGAAGAGATAATTACAGCAATAGCTCAACATTTACATGTGCCAGAAATGCCATGGAATCATTGGAAATGGCTAAAATTCAATTGCAAATGAATGTTCAAAGCACATTTTAGAAAAATTAGAGTGGAAATTATCAATTACATGAATGTACAGGAAAGGACCATTCAGCCCCTCGAGCCTGCTCCTCTATTTAATAAGATCATGGCCAATCTGATCATTCCATAATCCTGCCTAACACCTGACTCCTCCTCTCCTCAGTAACCTTTCACCTGCCCTTTACTTATTGAGAGTCTATCTATCTCTGTCTTAAAAATGTTTAAGGATGGTGTATCCACCTCCTTTTCAGGACGATAGCTTCAAAGACTCATAACCCTCTGAAATAAACTATTTCACCTCATCTCTGTTTTAAACGGGTGATGGCGGATTTGTAAACAATGATCCTTTGTTCTAGATTCTCCCACAAGAGGAAACATTTCCTCCACATCCAGTCTGAGAAACTCACGGCACAGCACAGGCTAAAACTGGCAACAACTTTCAGGATGTTTTAAATTGTGCTGCTTCTGACACTGCAACCATTCATAGTATTTCACTGGCTGTTTCAGTTGTCCTAAGGTGGCAAAGGGCTTTATAGGAATGCAAGTCTGTCTGTCTTTCTCAGCTGTCACCCTCTGACATTGTGAACCAGTCTGGGGACAGAGTCCCAGAAAGGAACCTTTTCCAATCTAATCTACCGGCAACGGCTGTGTTTGGAGTGAACTATCCGGACTGTGTTGGGGTGTGAATGTGGAGAAAGGGCAGAGAGACAGAGAAATGAGGAGGGAAAGTAAAAGCAGTTTAATACAGGGGAATTCCAGGGAATGGATGTCAGCAAGAAGCTGTGTGGAAAATCCTAACGGAGGGGGTGGGTATACCATGGAGTGGGGGCAGGTCTGGAATAGAGAGAAAGAGAGAGAGACAAAGTGTGAGAGATAGTAGGAACTGCAGATGCTGGAGAATCTGAGATAACAAGGTGTACAGCTGAATGAACACAGCAGGCCAAGCAGCATCAGAGGAGCAGGAAGGCTCACGTTTCCAGCCTTCCTGCTCCTCTGATGCTGATTGGCCTGCTGTGTTCATCCAGCTCTACACCGTGTTATCTGAGACAAAGTGTGAAACTGAATGAAGACAGGGGTGAGAGAAACATCAGTATTAACTTCCTCATTGTCAGAAAGAGACGCTCACTGCAGATCCCAGTGTGAGAGTCCACTGTTACTAACACACAGAATAACTCACTCATTCACCCTCTCTTTCACTCTCTCACACACACACCCTCCTTCCACCATCAGACCCAAGGGTTGACCCTGGTGTTGTGTGACTTCTGACTTTATCTATCCCTGACCAACACTGGCACCTCCACATCATAAATAAACATCATTACAGAATTTTCAATCAAAAAAAAATCAGCCCTAAAATAATCCACAATAAAATCATTATCAATAATAACCCCCAAATATGATTTACCATTATTTCCCTCAGTCTCTCCCTCTCTCTCTCAGTAAGCGGGGTCTTCTTCAGTCTCTGTCTCAGCAAGTGCTGTCTCCCTCAGTCTCGCTCTCTCAGTGAGTGGGGTCACCCTCAGTCTCTACCAATGAGTGGGGACTCCCCCTTTCCCTTGGGTCTGATGGTGGAAGGAGGGTGTGTGTGTGAGAGAGTGAAAGAGAAAGTGAATGAGTGAGTTATTCTGTGTGTTAGTAACAGCGGACTCTGACACTGGGATCTGCAGTGAGCGTCTCTTCCTGACAATGAGGAAGTTAATGCTGATGTTTCTCTCACCCCTGTCTTCATTCAGTTTCACACTTTGTCTCAGATAACACGGTGTAGAGCTGGATGAACACGGCAGGCCAAGCGGCATCAGAGGAGCAGGAAGGCTGACGTTTCGAGCCTTCCTGCTCCTCTGACGCTGCTTGACCTGCTGTGTTCATTCAGCTCTACACCGTGTTATCTCAGATTCTCCAGCATCTGCAGTTCCTACTATCTCTCACACTTTGTCAGGTGAAGTGCTTGATGAAGGGCCAGCGCTTTGAAAGCTTGTGATTTCAAATAAACTTGTTGGGCTACAACCTGGTGTTGTGTGACTTCTGACCCATGTTTATTTAATTGATATTTACATGATTGATGATGATCTATATTCAGGCTGGTTATTTTCACAGAATTGTACACTGTAGAAGCAGGCCACTTGGCCCATCAAGTCTATACCAGCCCTTGCCAAGGGCGTCCCACCCAATGCACCAAACCTGCAAATTTTTAGACTGTGGGAGCAAACTGGTACAGACACGGGGAGAATGTACAAACTCCACACAAACAGTTGTCCAAGGGTGGAGTCCAGCCCAGGTTCCTGTGGCTGTGAGACAGGAGTGCTACCCACTGAGCTGCAGCATGATATTCATGTTATTGATATTTATATTTTTGATTTAATTTATTCTAATTTGATGGTTTTATTTGTTATGGATATTAATTTAGTATTGATGTTTATTTGATGATTTCATGTTATTGATATTTGATGTTTATGTTATTCATATTTATATTGATACATTTTATTGGTAGTGACTTTATTGATACTAATTTGATTTTATTTGTTATTGATATTTAATGTTGATATTATTAAGTGTATTTGGTGATGATTTTATTTATATAATAATAATTTGATGATAATTATGATATTGATGTGTACTTGATTTTATTTATGATATTAATAATAATTTGATGATATTTATGTTATTGACCTGTATTTGGTGATGATTTTATTTATGATAATAATTTGATGATAATTATGATATTGATGTGCATTTAATGATGATTTTATTTATGTTATTAAAAATAATTTGATATTTATATTGATGCGTATTTGATGATTTTATTTATGATATTAATAATTTGATGATAATTATGACATTGATGTGTATTTGGTGATTTTATTTCTAATAATAATAATTTGATGATATTGATGT